CCAAAGCGTGGTTTCGTCATAGAGGCGCTTCAGATTTTTCCTCCTGGAACTGGGTTGCCTTCTAAAAGAACTCGTTGATTTGAAAAAAACTTATTTAAAATGAGTTTCTCAAGAGACCCAAGCAATCCTGATGAATCAATTCAAAAAACTGATAAAGATATCAACAAATAAAAAGATCGTCAATCTTGTCAATCCAAATGACCACCAAGACGCAACAACCAGGAAGTATGTTGATAAAAAAAGACAGAAACAATTTATTTATTCTCTTTTTCGTCAAAATATTCTTCCAGAAACCTCTTTATTGAGACATTCATCAAAGAAATAAGCAACATGCTGGTATCACTTTTTCTTTTTAGATGGAAATAGGCATTTCGATTTTCCTTTTATCAATGATCCTCATATCTTAAGTGTCTTTAGTGTTATCAAGGTATATAGGTATATAAGAGAAGTTTAAGTAGAACAACGATTCATACAAGAAACTGCATGATCGGAAATGAATGGATTCGAGGATATTGTCCTTCTCTTTAAAAAGATGATGTAATCAGTGGAATAAGACCAAACTAATTGAGGGTGTTCCATTCATTATTGTTGGAGAAACACAAAACCATGCAGAGTACAAAATAAAGATTTGGAATTTGTTTATATTGACGCTAAACCTTTGGCAGGATTCAAAACAAAAGCAAACCCGAAAAATTTCAGATGCCACTGGAATGGAATATTGGGAGATTCTGCAATAAATACTTTTTTCTGGTGTAACGCAAAAAAAAATTGTCAACTCTACTGCGAGATGATTTGATAATGATGAACGTTATGTACGGGGAAATTTTGAAAAAACAAAATGGAGAATAGAGATCGTTTTTATGAAGGACTTAACTGAGAACTGTCGTTCTTTTCTCTTTAACAAAGGCACAATTTTGACAGCAGAACAAATCAAGGCACACCACGACTTCTTCCTAAGAAGGTACAACATTGATGCCAATCCTGTTGTATGAAACCATGAAGCATGCTTGCATGTGCAAAGACTTTGAACATTACAAGTGACGTTCTTAAATTCAGACGTGATGATGCGTGATGAAGCAAAGGCATAAAAGCTTCACACAAACAATTAACACCCCGATCGTTCAAGAGGTACACCCTCATAAGAACTCACGAGTGAGACATTGTAAATATTATTGGCCTGTGAAAGCTTGAGGGTCTAGGAATGGCGGGAAGAAGCCTAGCATGGCACCGCCCATATCTCTCTGGTCGATTTTCACGAACGATCTGTGATAATGCAGTCTCCCTCAGCAAAAATTCGCCAATTGATATGCAATCAAAGCTTAATGTGGACTTACCAGCGATCACATCTTGGCTATATGACAACAAGCTGACACCAACTGTTACAAAATCGAAGCCCATGGTCAGTTCAATAATATAGCTCATGTGGCTAGTAATGATCGACTAGAGAAAATTACTAAATTCCGTGGCCATAAATCAATACCTAACGTGGCATGATCATATTGATCAATTGGAGACATGGGGTCTTAAAAGAGAATTAAACGTCTACCTATTTGCGCAAGGAAGATTTTTGTCACGACGATGGTCATCCCCCATACTTTTATCTAAAAGTATTGTATAGAGCGACAAAAACGACAAAGTTTTCGTAGATTCTTTTCAAGTTCTCCAAAATAAAGCAGCCAAGTTGGTCCTGTAGAGGGCTCCAAATTGTTCTTCAGCTTAAGCACTTTTAAATCTGAACTACATGAATCAACCAGAAGATAACTGCCATCTTTGTATGTATAACTTAATAAATAATAACGAAAGAAACAACATGCTAATCCGTGGTTCTGATTATCATAGTCATAACACCCGCTCAAAGGACGCTAATCAAGTAGTAACTGGGGTTTGCTCAGATTAGTGACAAGACGATCTAAGATCGTAAGTCGGGCTACAGGTAGACTCGCTGTTACAAGTGTTGACCATTCACGGTGCGTAGTGGTTCTAAAAGAAATACAGAGATACCAGGGTCCTGGTTTGTGGGCGTGGCGTAAAATGTTTTCACCCATGAGAGGCACCAATCGTACAACAACACACTGTCACATATTTTTGGTGCAATACCCTGACAAGTATCACGGAGGCTGCTGCTGTTGTGGACCTTTTGAGGCTGAACAGCCCAAGAGGTACTAAACCCGCCCTTTTTAACCTCTAAAAGCTATGATGAGCACCTCGGTCCCTTTCTAACAAAGCGTAGTCAGAACGGGTTAACTTTTCGGTGTTTGTTCAAGCGTGAAATATTCAACTTTGTCTAGACAAACTGTCGCGCTTCATCATTTACAGTTATGGGAAATCCGTACTGTCGAGCACCGACTTTAATTTGAACGCGTGAGAAGGCTATACAAACGACATCAAACAGGATTTGGCGGAAAATAAATCTTGATTAAAAGTGGTATGTACGTGCAGAAACATAAACACGGTAAATTGACGGTATGGACACAAGCTTGCATGTTTCACGCTTGAGCAAATACGTAAAAGCTGAATACTGTAATGTAAACAAAAATACTCCCTGTAGCACGTTTCAAATTTCGAAACTTTTTACTTGTTTACGTTTCCAGGAAGCTTTTAAAACGGCAGCCGGCTGTTATTTTGAACCCTGAAGATAATACCGGAAAACGATGTAGATCAGAGTATTCAATCATGATTGCTTACAGGGCTGGTAACTGACTTATCTTTCAGGCTGATAAAAGGGTAATTGTGAAGAAGAGCTCCCCAAAAAACCTGTCGGCCGACTGTCGGTCAACTGTCGGCTGACAGTTGGTCGTCTGTCGGCCGACAGTCGGCCGACAGTCGGCCGTTTGTCGGCCGACAGTTGGCCGACAGACGGCCGACAGGTTTTGCCCGAAATATAGGCTACCTGTCGGCCGACAGTGGACCGACAGTCGGCCGACTGTTGGTAATGTGTTTGTTTTTAACACAATTTTTTCTTTTTTCTTAACCAGTTGGTTAGCTGTCGGTAGACTGTCGGTAACCTGTCGGCCGACAGTTGACCGACAGTCGGCCGACAGGTTTTTCGGGGAGCTCTTCTTCACAATTACCGATAAAAGAAATGATAATCGAGTGACACTGCCATCTGCCAAAAAAATTGTTACGTTTTTAAAGATTCCCGCTTTCAAAGATTCCCCATTTTGAAGATTCCCGCTTTTAGAGATTCCCCGTTTTAGAGATTCCCGCTTTTAAAGATTCCCCGTTTTAAAGATTCCCCGTTTTAAAGATTCCCCGTTTTAAAGATTCCCCGTTTTAAAGATTCCCGCTTTTGAAGATTCCCGCTTTTATAGATTCTAGTGAGACCTCCGCTAAATCATTTGATTCTCTCGCTATTTTGAGTTCGCGGAACGACCCGTTTCGAATATACGCTTATTACACAAACCATCTTTTAGAGTGGGTCTGCTGCGAACGGTGTGTGGGTCTGTATGCTTGAGCATAGAAAAGATGACACCATTCGTTAAGGGATTCGACAAATCCGCCATGTTTCGACATGGTGGAAAGAAGGTTGCGCCTCTACTACGTGTCTGTGGTATCCTCTATTGCACGTAACTGAGTTTCGTGGAGAAACTCGAGGGTAAACCTATAGTCGGTCGCCCGACTAAATAGTGTAACGATATTTAGTTGGTTGCGTCAGAGCTTTGTATTCCCTTACTTGGCAATAAAGTTTAGTTGGTAAAAAGCACATGGTGACTGCTGTCTTACATCAAATTGTGCTTTACCTGATTGGAATGCTCTGCCTTTTGCAGTTAAAATGTTTACCTCTTCGGTTTTAAATTGTCATTACTTACAGGTTTAACTTTTTAAGTAATTTTCCATTTTATTCCTATTTTTGATAGTACTTTAACTTCTCTTGACCTATTTCCTCTTATCATAACTGTTATATAAAAAGGTTTTGTTACATCATTGAATTGATATGCGCATGTTCAACTAGAAGGCATAAACAAACGAAGTTATGTTTCACTGTTCGTGCATTTGTCATTATTACTTGTGTACAACATTACCATTTTAGTTCCTTTAGCTGAATTTTGTCATTTAAGTCTTTCTGGGACTGACTATAACCAGTTTTAAATTTTTTTATTTTATCTGAGTTAGTGAGGACCTCCCTGAAAACCAAGTTATCTGACAGAAGCTTCCTCTATAAACACTCGAAAATTCAGCTTTAGAAACTCCTAACAGTGGCCCATTTACATCATCAACTCAGGTGATAGACCCAAATTATCCTGTATATATGGATACCCATTTCAAAGGCCGGCGTCACTCGATGAAAATGCAGCGGGCCTAATGTCAAGGCTAGTGCCCACATGCAGCCCAGACACCAACTTATCCAAGGGTGGGTTGCAAATGGCCCAGTGTGGAAAGCTCAGGGGGGTGAGGAGGGTAGGAATTTGACTAATCAGTCATGGGTTGGGGAAATTTTCAATTTTGAAAACTTCATTCTTGGATATTGAAGTTTTCTGTTTTTGTTTGATTTGTAGAATACACATACACTCGCTTTAAAAAACGTTGCAACATTAGAAATACATCATACATATACAATATATATATGTATATGTATATATATGTGTATATATAGAGATTTTGTTAAACAATGTGTGTTTGCACTGTTAGCAGTTTACTTTTGTTTCTTTGTAAACACATGCATCTATCGGTGTGCATAGATATATATCTGCATATTATATATACATAGTATATATGTGTTATACATATATATATATATATATATATACATAGATATATGTAGCACATGTATATGTATATATGCATAGTACATATGTATATAACAAACATGTTGAGACCCCTGAGAAAGGAAAATGCCAAAACATGTTGGGTCTTGAATAAAGCATTGAAAACAGAAGCCTATTCTCTGTTGTGCAAATTATACATATATGAATAAAAGCATGGTACCATGCCTTGGTTGATATATGTATTTAACAAAAAAATATAGACTATATACAAAGAGACTATTTTCATCCCTGTACTTTCATCCAAAATAGTCTCTTTTATTTCCCTATCTCAATATATAGCGTGCTCTACTTCTACGTACCAAACACTGTATTATGGAGAAATTGAAACATGTATATGTATATATATTTGAGTGTCTACAAATGAGCAAAAATAAACTGCTGAACACTTCTTTAACCTTAGTTCAACCAAAGAAATACTTTACTTTCAACTTATAGATAAATCGTGTAGCTCTCTCCTTTTATTTGCTAACAGTAGCATATAGCGTTACGCTTAAGAGCAAATCTATTTGAATATGTATCTCTTATTTATTTAAGAACACTTCCATTACCCCTAAATGAATGAGGATGGCAGAAAACCATCAAATCTCGTCACTCCTGAATAACTCATTACTTGCTCATTCATTATTAAAACTTATTAAATTAAGGTTAAAATAGAATCTCCCACCTTATCGAAAAAAGAACATTCTTGGACAATTCAATGATTGTATCAACCTCAAAAGAAACTTTGTAATAGCAGTATCAGGGGCTTCAACCATAAGTGATAAGCAGGACATGTTAATTTGGGATGGGAAAAACTGGCTCTGTCACACCACAAACAAGAAAAAGTTGTGTGAGTTACACATTTTGTAAGTTGTTATTCCTGTGAAAGGCTTCAGCTTCCTGCACAGCTCTTTCCAATTCTTTCTTCTTTTCATCAAATGGATGACCATTGCCGCCCATCACAATAATGGGCTGTGTACGATACGGTTGTATTTTCTCGACATTGAGCAGGTGAAAGATAATACGGTCCACTTCCTTTGGCAGCTTGTGACTCCAGCGAGAAGAAAGGAATTCTGGAATATTTTTCTTCGTTCCACTATAGGTAAAGAACGCGGGAATGAATCTGTGAACATCAGGATTCTGAGAAATCTGTCCTCGTATGAGATTTAATTGGCATCTGATGTTCAAGGCTAGAAAAATAAAAGTATCGATTAGAGTAGTTAAAACAATGTGTTCATACTGAAAGTGCATACATAGCAAATACTAGAAGTTGGTTTCGGTTTTCTTCCACAATATGTTTTGACCTTCTTTACATTGCTCTCAGTGCCGTTGCGTTTTCATCCATTTTGCTGAACGTAAAAAAATTAATGGCAAAAAGGCAGCCATAAAGTTCTGCCCTCTGCACGACTTTGTTGGACAACAATGCACACCTTATGAGATTTATGTATTGAGAGAGGGAAATTAACTTTAGAGGCAAACACACCAAAACAGAAGCATCCTAAACTTCAGGGCTAGGAGAATTTTAAATAAACTTTAGGGCCTTGAAAATGGTGTGATACTACCTTACATCTGTTATACAATGGGGCAGATGGAGGGAATCAGTACTTTAAATGTTACTTGTTACAGTAAAGTAAAAACATTGTTGAAACTATCAGGAAGATGGTGGTGTTTAGTAAAGATACAGACTTCTACCTATTTGGAGTTTGATGTTTGTCAAAGTTAAGAATTTTTAAGTTCCTACAAATAAGATTAGTGTGTACATCAAAATTACTCTTTGCAATAAATCTAATAGTCTTCTAGAGTGTAATTAAACATTTGAGATTAGATTGATAAATTTAGCCCCTAACAATTGCACAACAACCTACATAGGTATTAAGTTAGCTGTAAAGAGAGTATAAATAATGATTTCGTGCTAAGTTAGTGGCTTGAATTGCAGATAATTTCAATTGATTTTGACGTCTTTTCAGTAACATGCTATACTTGAGGTTACCAAGACAAGTGTTTCTCTGGTATCACTCTTAAAAACAGAACTTCACAAACAGGATCAAATTGAATTTCAAAGATTGAGAAATGTAGATCAAGGTTTAGCTGTCTGGTTCTGTTTTATTTTGAACAAAATAAATTTTGATTTTCATGGTTAGTGAATTTTAAAATCTTTTGATGTCATGTGTATTATTAGATGAGGAAGCAAGTCAGTCTGAAACTCTCGCTCTGTCTGCCCGTGACTCCTCAGAAACCTCACAAAGTAAAACTGAAAACACCTTGACATTTTCTAGAGTTCTTTCAGTTGACATTTCCCATTACAATGTCAACAACAGTTAATGCTGTTCTATAAAATACCACATTACATTTGTACACGTTAAAAACACAGCGATATGTCCATCCAGAGGACTTTCTCATAAGGTGTTGATATGATGTGCATTGATCTCTGACGTACTCCAAATTTGATGCATTTTAATGAAGAAATATATGCACTTTACATTAGTGACTGATCTACAAGAAAAGCAACTATTAATTGCTGTGAGCAACACCATTAGCTCCATAAAGCTCTAGCTCAGTTATGATCGTAATTAATGGTGTCAAAGGCTCTAGGTAAGTCAGGAAACAGACCAAAAGAACATTTCTTTGATCAATTGCGCCTGACATTGCACAGGCAGTTAAATTGTATTTGTTAAGCCATATTAATTACAAGAAAGCATGATGAGACAGAAACTAGTCCATAACTGGTAAATAAAGAGAGAAGTTGCTAGTTTTTAAAAATGATTGACTTTTTTCTATCTTCAAAAAAACCAAGGCGAACACAATATGCTTGCCAATTGTGAGTAAGTTGTCTCTGAAGATCTGGTAGAAGGCTGTGGCAGATGAAGTACTTGTGAGAACTATTTGAGTTCACCAAAGGCAAAAGATTTCCCATATTTCTCTGCCAATGATATGATAAATAGTACCTGTATTTCAATCATAAAAGTATTCAGTGAGAAGTCAATCAAGACATTTTCCAGCCAAGTGCACTAAAAAATTTTCCCCTAAACAACCCAACTTGAAATATCAGTGTGAATGGGAAACACTGGAACAGTCAAATTTAACTTCAACTTGACTATCTTGAATTTCCAAAATGCATGCAAGTTTTGTATTTTTTGGTGTGATATAGTACTAAGAAACTGAGACAATGTTAGCCATGACCAATGCAAACATGACAAGCTACAGGAGTCTCATCTTTAAAATATCAAATTGTATCCTGTTGGGAAATAATAGGCTGCACAGCCATTAAATCACTAATAGACCTGACTTCATAGCGAAAAATAAAGGCGCTGCTGCTGCTTTTAGCTATATGTAGAGAATTTCATCAACAAAATATGAGAACAAAAACATTTTTCACTCCATGATGCACGTAGTGAGGTATATCAGAGTATATTTGGTTGTATTGTTTACACAAAAATGGCATCTTCCTGATGGTGAAAATCCACTCTCAAGAATGCAAGAGAGAAAGAATGCAGTTCTACTTACGATCATCTCCTTCTTCCAAACTGCTGTGACATCTGACTGACATTTTGTGCGAGGCAAGAACCACCACACAATGCGAATTCTTCACTTGGTCTTCATACCAGCGAGGAACATTGGGTGCTATATCCAAGGTATTCCACATATCTATACTAGCCTCTATCAGCTCCGTGGAATTCAACACAGCACCAAAACAATGAACTACATGATTACACTTCTCGCAGCATCTGGTGTACATGATAAAAACTCGTTTCTTGTCTGAAAACAAAAGAATTATAAAAAGGTGATGCTACAAGGTGTTAATTCTGATGCTATAGAAATTCCTTTCTTTTCAATGGACACCCAGGAGACCTTTGCTAGTGTGGTTAAATACAGGATGACAGTATAATAAACCTTACAGTAAACTGTGCAGTGCTAACAAGCTTAACTTTATGTCTGTGTTAGGGTCAAAATTAAGGTCTATTGAGGGCGTTGGCTTAATATAGGCTTCACTGTATTTCATAGTATGAGTATACTTACATAATATAGTTGCATGTTATCAGAAACTGACAGTGTCAATTGTCAATCCAAATACACATCATTACCCTCAAAATAAATTCATTTCATTTTAAACTTATGGCATACAACATACCTGACTCAAGCAAAGGATCATTTAGATGAGGCCTTGGTAGAGGGTGATCTGGAAGTCTGATACGTACTGCAAAAGAAGAGGTCAGAACTCTTATAGGAAAGGCAGGTTTGCCATAAAGCAAACAAGGAATTTGATGACACATGATAGTTAATATTCTTCACACCATATAGAATGAAATGAAGTTTGCTTTGAAATTCATACCTTGCCAAAAAAATATTCTGTACATCACCAGTAAGAAACAAATAAAAAGTCCAAGGAAAGCACCCACAACAGCTATCAAGAGTTTTTTAGTAGAATCTGATTGCCCTCCAGGTATAACTATAAGAAAATAAAGAGTCATTCAAATATTCATTAATGCAGACACTTCATTATTAAAGTTGGCAAAGTGGAGCAAATTTATGAGACAAATTTTGTCTTTACACTGTGGAGGTGGTTGAATTTTGTGGATTGTGTATGCCTACCCATAACCAGCCATTTGGAGGGGGGCTTTGTGCAGGCTAGATGTTTAAAAGCCAAGACATCTTGGCACAAAAGCGAGGCTACTGACCCATGATACCCAGGCTGGTGGCCTATCATTAATGTGTTCCACTGTGTCTCAGTGGCTCTTGAGAGAATATAAGGTATCATTTCAAAAGTTTCCATCAGAACCAAAACGGTGTTCTGAATGGGTTGTCAAGATTCCCTGCAACTCAAGAGGCAATTTTAATTGTTGTTTACCATAACATAATGTAAGCTTTATCAGAAAATGGCCACCACTTTACTTTTTATTTGAACTGTTGTCAAGAGTTCCTCATCAAATATGGCCTTGATTTTTGTTTAAGGCCAAATAAATGTACTCAGCTAGCATGTAACAATAAGTAACTTGTTTATTATATTTATTGCCTGTATCACTAGCTTAATCCTTTAACAAACAGTTATTCCTCATACTCAAAGGATAGAGACAAAAGAACTTCAGCATATAGAAAGATTTTCTGCTCTTTGCTGTTCTTTGCATGTTTATCTTCCCATATATAAGGATATATCAGTAGGCTGATGTAACAGATCAAAATTCTGGAGAACTTGACCCCTTGATAATTTGGTTTTTTGTTAAAGAACGTTTTTCTTCATAACTTGTGCGTTTAAGATTTAAATTTAGTTTTTACCACAAAAATGAAAAAGGCTTGAAACATGGGCCTCGGGAAACTGAAACAATTTTTCACTGAAAATCTTCAATAAAGTTGTTTGGTTAAAAGCAGATGCAAGGGGGTTAAACAGGCTACTTTTAACTCCTGACAGAGCATTTTTCTTTCAAAAATTTAACCCACACTTTCTCAAGTGAATCAGGTGCTACTCTAGCTGTTCTTGGCTGATGCCATTCCTGCACTCACAAATTTTTAGGAGCATCTCAAGAGCTCATGACCAATAATCAGCAGTTGAAGTTTCAGACATTTCGTTGTTATGTACTGTGTTACATCATGTCATGCGTTTTAGCCTCACTTTTGTGCCAAGATAGCTGTTATGTGAGAAGAATCCATTGTGCAGTCAGATAAGTGGTCCTGAAGCTTTTTTTTCTTTTTTTCGGTGACAGAAAGAAACATTTCCACCACCTGATCAGAATTCCAATGCAGTCTCTCTGAAAGCAGTCTGGTGCATTTCAGGTTTACAAAATCACTTTCTTTCAAACTTTGCCCATGAATCTGTCCTAGTCTAAAGGTAATTGAAACTACCTTGGTTTTCAAAACTCTTTCAAAATAATTTTTTAGCGTGAAAATTGCTTCAGCCCTCATGGCTCATTTCTAACAGAGCCAATTATCAAAAATAACTGTGACATAAAAACAAAAGAAAAATGTGGATATTGATGGCTGTCTTCATTCACTTGAGACCAACGATACCTAGTGTGAGATCTGTAACTGTGTGATTTCTAACTTCTCCTTGAGATAAGTTCTATATCCCTTTAAGGTGGATATTTGATGTTTCTCTGTGAAACTGATTCTTAATTCTCCCAATGCTTAGGTTAATATTTGTATCAGAGTACTTTTAGTCTTGGGGCTACTGAATGTATATCAGACTCATGAAATAATTTGTGAGTTTTTGGGTAATAAATATTGTGCACATATAGACTTCACTTGTGGTGAAAATCCTCAATACAGTCACATTGATACAATTAACAATACTTCTGCAAACCTTGTGGTGGTGCTGTGGGCAGCGGGATTAACACAGTCGTTCTTACATATTTTGTGTATGTCTGGTTGATCTTGCCCCTTAACTGAAAATGAATAGCATAAATGAATATGTTGACTCACTACCCTTATGCTATCATAGGTGTGAAATAGATGAACTTTGACTATATTCTTCACTTGACAAATAGATGAATACATGTGAAACTTACAAAAGGGTTTTGTGACCACTGGTAATTACAAGTAAGAACTAAACAATGTGGAAAATATTTGACATCACAACAAAGCTTACACATATGTAAACATTAGATGTAAAAAGCTAAATAAAGAAATAAGCAAAAACTCCAATTCAATGACTGTATAAACATACTTAAGTGACGCTCTCGCTAAGAGCGATCCTCTCGACTTCCCGTCGGAAAAAAGTTTTATTTCATTTTTTGCCCATGAAAAGGGTTTAGGACACATGTTTCAAAAGTAGCTAAGTTGTTCTCCAATTCTCTTTTTTTGCGTTGCCACAATACAAAAATGACTTTTGGCCAGTCCACCCCTGTGGACAGCGATCGAAAGTGTAAATTTCAAAGATTTTGTCCAGCGCGCAGTGACTGCAACAACGTAGCTCACGGAATTCTATCTCGCTACAAGTTGCAAGATGTATTCAGTTAGTTCAGAGACAAAATGTGGAAACTTCAGCTGAAATATTTTTCATATCAACGTGATCAGAGGAGACCCTTCTCTTCGACCTTAATTTGCGTATCAAAAATTCACTACTTTGTACGAAAGAATTCTAAAAATGCGGGCGTTAATTGGGCTGAAAAAGCATATCAGTGCATAGTCTCAAACCTGCAGGTATATCTCTAGCTTCCATCCACCAACATATTAGAAACAACGCAAATCCACGTGTTTACTCAATTGCGCTCATGTCAAAGATCATTTGCATGATTCTGAAAATTGACCAAGATCTCCTTTTGAGCGTTCAAAGTTGGTTCGTTCATCTTCTACATTGAGGATTGTCCTAAAACGTTGCGTAGACGTGATCGGTCGTACCTGAATACATCTTGTAACTTGTAGCAAGATAGAAAGTCCTTGACCTACATTGTTGCAGTCGCTGCGCGCTAGACAAAATCTTTGAAATTTACACTTTCGATCGCTGTCCACAAGGGTGGTCTGGCCAAAAGTCATTTTTGGATTGTGGCAACGCAAAAAAAGAGAATTGGAGAGCAACTTAACTATTTTTGAAACATGTGTCCTAAACCCTTTTCATGGGCAAAAAATGCAAGAAAACTTTTTTCTGACAGGAAGTCGAGAGGACCGCTCTTAGTGAGAGCGTCACTTAAAAGAAATACAGGGCAATTATAAACAAATATTGTAGCATAATAATCTGAAAAAATCCTATGGATAAGGAGTTTTCTATCCCGCTTTATTACCAGAGTTACTAAACTCTACCCATTATGGAACACGAAGTTATCAAAGTTTACCCTTTGTTATGCTGTTCTCTCTTGAAACTATATCGTTGTTCTCGAATTTACCCTAAATTGCCTAGATTTATAATTGCTTTACCACATACCTTAATGGAGTAGTTAAACCTCATGCAAATGTCTTTTTTCAGTTGAATGATATATCCATAGCCTTCCTGTAATGAATATACATATATATAGATATCAGGAGGTAGTTTTGCATTCCTCAACACCAGGTACTTGAAACAAGAAAGGGGGTAGGTTTCCAAAGAAACCGTGGTGCTGCGTCGGCGGGAGAATATAGCAGGTAATTTAGTGTTAACAAGAGTTAGAGTTGAAAACGGAAATTGGCCACCATAAAGGCTGAAAAAGCTGACGTTTCGAGCGTTAGCCCTTCGTCCATCACTCTGACAAAGGCTATAATGCTCGAAACATCAGCTTTTTTATCCGTTACGCTGGCCAATTTACATTTTCAACTCAGTTGTTAACACTAAATTACTTCTAACAATACATTGTTACAGTTATAGTATTGACTGCTGCCTCTTATAGAAAAAAAAATTATGCAACTTAAACTTATAAGAATTGAGAGCTAAACTGATAGTTTTCTGCAACTTATTGTTGCAAAACTGCCTATAAGGCTGAAATATTGTCTGTATATATTTGCAGGTGATTATCATTAAAGTTGTTAGTTTATCAGACAAATGTAGAAACCTTGATTGATGGAGGATTGCGTCATATCCTATTATTATCTTTCCACAGGAGGTGAAATACCATAACATAATCATTTCAAAATGGTCACTATTAGTCTCTTTCAAAACCGTTGCTTAAGCTTATTGAGCAATGTTGGGGTGGGCAGGTGAGGAGGGGGGGGGGGGGTAAGAATATGTTGCTATTCAAGACCAAAAAGAGTTGCATTTGATATTTTTTTCTGAAAATTCAACAGAGGTAAAATGTATCATCTTGTTATCTAGGTCTTTTGTCTTGATGCTTCTTCTGTGGCTGCAAATCTTAATATTCTTTTCATTTGTTATTGCAGCCACTTCACAAAATTTATACTAAGCTCACGAATGGGTGTGCATCATTGTAACATATGATAAATCATAGGGCTTTGCATGGGAATTTCAGCTATCATAAAAAAAGGTCCAAAACAGCTTTGGTTATGTGCTTATTCTCTACCTCTGTTCCTCTACCTCTAGTGAATCACTACTTCTGTTCATTAATAATATAAATAAAAAAGTGTTTATCAAACCAAGAGAAGGGGACAGAGAGCAACAATCAGGGCATCAGCCAGGATACTTTCCAATAGTTTGTCTTACATGTCATGCAACATTCTTGGAGGGTGGTGTGGCTACAACAAGATGGCCAGCTTTGCTTAATCAAAAGGTTGTTTGGCTACACCAGTCATGCATTGGTTTGCTAGTTGCATTCGTTTTCCCAAAGAAAAAGAGAGAGAGAGAGAGAGAGAGACTATCTTACTTTAAATAACTAAACTTGAAATATCCCAAGACCCTGCAAGGGAACCTCTCTCTTTGTCCAATAATTCCTCCTGATAAGACTTGGAATCTTAAAATGATACTGATAAACTGGTGAACATAATTGCTCTTTCCAGTACCAGAATCTTCTCATGATGGTTTAGGTGTTGCTATCATTTTCCTTCAAGGGGTAATAAAAATAGTAGAACTTGCAGTTGATAGAGCAGAAAATTAAAAATTGCTCACCATCCTTTAGATGACTGCTTGAGGAGCAAGGTCACCATATTTTAAGTATGTTACAATTTTCTTGACATCTTAGGTTCAAAACTTTGAACTTGTGGAGCAAAAAAGGAGAGCCATAACACAAAAAGGGGATTTCAAGGCATTATTAGACCTATGTAACAATGTATTCTGTTTCAATCCAGTAAAATTTCCCCCCTCCTGATTAGCATTTTCTGCTGTTTGTTTTATATTTAGTTTTTTTATCATTATTGCATAGCCTATCACTGTGATATGGATGAGAATCAACGATCGTTTATTGCTACAAATTACTCTCTGTTTATGTTTGCAAGACATCCTTAATTTTCAGTTTCCCTTGGCTTTGATAATGTAAATAATCGAAAAGTCCATACAAAGAAGATACCTCTCTTACCTTGACCTCTGCTTTCCCATTACACTCTTGAGGTTTTTGAATGTTGTTCCATTCAATTTGGAATGTTGTGATACTCTGACATTGTTCTTTCAAAGGTAAAGCCCATTCTAGAACAATTTTCTGGTCAGTGTACTTTGCTGTGACGTTTATAAAACAGTCTGTTCACAAGAAGGAAATCAAAGTTTGAAGAGGATCAATGCAATTTAGAATTTGGAAAATATAAGGAGACTTACAAATTTTTTGTTTTTATACCCATAGAAATGAAATTTAACAACTTTTTTTCTCAGCAGAAGTCTAAGCTCCTTTTTGCTAGCAGATGGAGGTTGCATTAATGCAATAGAACTTATATCTTTAGATTCCTTTAATAATTTCTTCATATTTCTCCCAAATGATGAGAAATTTAGATTTGTGGTTCAGCTTGAGAGTAATCAAAACAGTGATAGACCATTGGAAAACTGAACTATGCAAAGCATAACTGGACAGTTAGAATACTCAATAACTACTGGTATGTAAGAATTTTTTTGTTTAAAAGCTCTACCTAGAGTTGGCAACTGAATTTAATGCAAAGGCAAAATTTTACTACATTTTGAAACTTTTTTGCTTCAGAACTTTGATTTCAATTACGTCAACAATGCAGCAGTTGTACAAAGCTGACAACTCAAAGGACAAAAACATACAATGAAAAACAACTTACAGCACTCTGACAAATTCATGTACAGTTCAAATTGACACTTCTCTGTAAAAAAGGAAATCATCTTATTAATCCTACCAAGTCAGAAAAAGAAAGAAGTAGGTAACTACACTCTTTGCTTTCAATTTACATCAATTAGTGGATACGTGTAAGGTATCGAAAACAAAACAAAAACAAAACAAAAACCCGACAGTAGTCATTGACCAGGATTCTGTGATCTAATAGAAGGAGGAAGATGGAAAATTTTACTTTCACTGATGAAACAAAAAGGTTGTTAGTAAAGGTAAATTAAGATGCAAAACTCAGTGTTATTCATTATAATTTCCAGTAGTATGACTGGACCATTTTGAAGTTTTCAAACCAAAATATTCATTTTCCCAAATACACCTGTCATCTATTCTTCAGTTTCAGTTTCCACCATCCCACATTCTGTAGTCTGTTTTAACAAGGTCATTGAAATCATAGTATGGCTGGTTATCAAGAAAAATACCTGGTACTTTCACACTCAGGTGTACTAGATTGTTGTCATTCTCATGATGTGATGGCATACTCTGTACTGTGATCTGGTATGTTGCTCCATATCGGATGTTTTTAGAGAAGGTCCAATACCAATATTCCTTTTAGAAAGGGAACAACATACAATTAGATGTTCAATAATTTTATTTGAATAATTTATCACATAAAAGAAAAATACCGCTGTCAATTGTTTGGTAAACAGTGAGCCTCTGGATGGCATTGTTTAATGATGGTAAACAGTTCTGAAGAGTAGATCATGTTCAAAAGAAGACTAAGACAGGACCCTTGTGGAACGCCCCAGCAAATCATAGAAATACATCATCTTTATTTCTGTAGAGTACGAAAACCATTTCAATGTAGGTAAAAACGCGATTTCAAGTGCAATTTGCATCAGTTTTTCAAGAAGACAAAATTGCACAACCCAGTAAGGCAAATGCAATTTGTAGTCTTTTAAAATTTACAAGACAATTAGTGCTTAACATACCAAATTACTTGAGATTATTTATAGATCACATGTTGTTGACGATGCATAACTCAGAAATTCCCAAGAAATAACAAATTTACTTCTAGCAGTATGGGGTTGGTCTGTATGTATTGCTCAAGCTGCATTTTCTCTGATCATGGTGAGCACTGCCTGGTAATGCCTGTCGCTTTGGAAGAAGTCATTCCTGTCTACTTCTGCAGCAGCAGTTTGTTGCTGGTTGGTCAGTGGCTCTGGCTGGTTCTGCAGCTCTCTCAGCTGCTCTTCTCTCTCTCTCTCTGACCCAATGCCTGTGGTTGGCGATGCACATTACTGTCTCTGAATAACTTCGCTATTTCATCTGCATCTTTTTGAACTTGGTCTAACTGCTGGTTCAGGTTTTTTGGGCTCCAGTCAAAAAAAAGTTGAAGTTGATGTCTGGAACCCTCTACAAGCATCTACTAAATTATTTGGATGAGCTTGTGCAGTTCAGGAACTTGGAAGGCAACAGAACATTCTCCTAGCTGCTGGAAGACAACCCTGACCAGCTTCCAGTTTCCTCTACAATAATGAATCATTTATTCTAAAAAAAACTGCTCCTCCAGGAGCCACTAAACACCAGAAAAAAAAAGACCAATAAAGAATTCAACCTTACAGCCCAATTAATCTGACTAATGCCCAGTCTGCTTAAGATGAGTATAAAATTTGTTGAGCTGGGTTGAAACAAACACAAAAAAGGCACCATATTAATATGGTTACTTTGCAGAGTTAATCGGCAACAAAAGCATACTAAATCAGCAACAAAAGCATACTAAATCAGCAACAAAAGCGTACTAAATCTAAATGAGGGAGAGGTTTGTAGAAAAAGAGAAGCGCTGTGGCTTGATCCTCCTTCAAAAGCTTTAATTAGATGTAAAAGAAGTCACCCACACACTGCCAACACTCACACACAACTGACACTTCTCACTGATTGAAATGGAAACTAGTTAGCAATGCATCCGCTGACAGTTGGTCGACAGTCAGTAGACATTTCACTGACATTAGGTAAACGGAGGGTCCAAAATATACTTTTCCAATCCTGCATCCCACCACTACTTTTCATTCCATCTCACCATCCTGCTGCAATGAGTATTTTCATCCCCATCCTATCTGGTTTAACCTAAGTTGCTCTGGTTCCCTGTCCTTTCTAAACTAGCGGGCAAACATAGCCTTTGCAATATTGATAAAGTCCTCTCATTATGGAGAAAGGAAAGAGTGCTTAGGACATATTTAACTTGCTTAAGGCTGTTGCTTAGTTTGTTAATAGCAGCATCAACAAAACCTAGATAAAGGTGCAAACAAACCATTTGTTTGGGAAATGCTACATTGACAACAAAGTCTCCCTCTTGCACACTTGCAGAGATGTTGTCAACCAGTTCATTAAACAGGCAAATGAACACCACCCAACAACCAAATTTATGGCTGAAATATCTGTTTCAGAAGCTACTTTTTAACACACCATTATCTATAAATATAAAAGGTTCAACAGGGAGTCAGTTCTTGACATGAGAATCCATTTCAAACCAACAATCTACACAACGTATCACCCACCAGGGGCAAAGAAAGGCTTCAAATAATGATTTTAAAGAAACATTGGACAATTCAAAACATGTCTGGCAGAAAGGCTACCAGAAATTTTGATTGACAGCCCAATCTCAGAAGCAAAATTTGAAGGACATAAATGGGTCTTTTCTCCAACATAGACAAGCAGATAAGAGAATCTTGCCCTTCATAATGCAATACCACTCAACAGTTACAAACCTCAAAGAACCCTCATGAGCTAGAGGCATTTAATGTGGCAACAACCACTGCTGAGAGAAATCTTCAAAGAACAGCCCATTACATCATACAGAAAGGGGTGTACTCAAAGACATACTTGTGAGTGCAAAATTATGACAAAGGGGAGAAAACTGGACATACTTTGGAGCTAAGTAAACACATGTAACAAATACAGAGAAGACTGGACATAATATGGAATTGTTTAGACCTGTCAACTCCAATTTTCACGAGAGCATTTATTAAGCCTGTTTCTGAATCAAATAAACACTTTAATTTCCCTGATGTTGTGTAACTCCCAACTTTAGCTAAATCATGATCCTGACAACACCTGTCCTATCTCCTATCCCACCTTCGAAATGAAGCATATCCCAGTCTCACCTTCCAATTTCCATCCTGCATCCTGGGATAAAAATAAATGTCTCGTATCCTACATCCTGCTTTAATTTTAAGATTCATCCCGCATCTGGCCAAACCAATGTTGGACCCTCCAGACAGTTGACTGACTGTCAGCATTGACCAAAACACTGGGGACAACTTGTTTGGATCACATTCGTTACTTTATCCTACTCAAGTCTGATATCACAAGGGGAACAATGTGCTCAGGCTTCATTTTAAGCAAAATATCATTAGTCACTTTCAGGAGGGCTGTTTCCTTCCTAGAATTCTCCCTCTTAGCAGATTGTGTAGTTGAGTAGAGAACAATTCTCTTCATGAAGTTGTCAATTTGAAGAAATACAACTCCCTTATTAATGATTGTGGGTGAACTTAAGAGAAGACTTCTTGAAGTTGTTTGTATCATCCTCACTGCTCAACTCCTGTACTAAGAGTGCTCCTTTAAGAGAGTTGAGTGCATGTTCCTTAAATGGCAAGACTGATCTCACACTGATTTCCATATAATTGTTGTCTCAGAAGCTGTACATTAATATTTTTCATGGGTTATATTTATCTAACCATCAAGATAACACTAGGTAAAGGTTATTCCTACTTAAAAATGTAAATCAAAATATAATTAAAGGGAAAGAAATTAAAGAGTTGATTTCACTGGTATTTGGGCTTTGTTTTCTAGAGACTGGATGGAGTAAATTTAATACTGTAGATATATGTATTATTTCTAACAAACAAAAATTTAAAAAAGCAACTTCAAAGTATTCTCATACTGAAGTGGTAAAATTAATACAACCTTCACAACCAAAACTAAAACATGTTAACAGTGTTTACCTTTCTGTTCATCTGTGTACAGTCATTGTGACCAGGGTGTTTGTCTTTTCCAGAAATATACAGCTGATAGCCCCATAAATCACCAAAACCTAAAAAATCACCACAACCAAGAGCACATCAACCACAAAATAACCTTGAGCTGACTTCTAAAGTAGATAACAAAAATAAGGCATTTTTGATAAAGTTAGCTTTGTTTCATCACATTATTACTTTTGAGTGAAATAAATTTACTTATGGAAAAGAGATGGTCAAGTTTAAAAAAATGATAATTTTTAGTCCTAATTCTAATCGGGTCTTGAGATAAATACAATTGCACATGTCAGTTAAACTGATTGTCTATTATAATGTTCTCGAACAAGGCCATAATAAGTGAGTGACTACCAAGAAAAGCATGAGGGGAAAAAAAAGGACACAACAGAAGTTACCAGATAATGCTTTTGACAAGGTACTGATGATAGGTACTGGCAAAAATATTTCTCTTTCTCTTATCATGACATAAGAAGACCACTCCAGAGATATTTCAAAGCAAACACACACATTTAACATCAAAACAAACTGAGTTGTGGTGGCTGAACATTTAGTGACTTTCAATATGTACTGTGAACTTCCAATGGTGAAGTCTGCAACAAAATTGTAGTAATTTGTTGCTTTACGGTGCTTGAGGCTGGACAACCTGGGTAGGAGGGCTATCAGGGCTCTTTTCTATTGATGATCAAACCAGAGGTAGAGTGAGTTTCCCTTGGTGATCCACGGGCCACAAAAGTGTCTGTGATAGGTTCCCTTGAATTCATGCAGTGAAAATTGTTGGCTATTTTTTTAGTGTTGTTTTATCATGTCTTCATTTCATTGAGATATGATGAATTGCTAATTATAGAAATTGTCTACATACATTCACTTCTACCTTGCATACAAACCATGTGAAAAAAAAAGTAAGGATTAAGTTTTAATTTGGTTATTGAATGTGACACCAGAGAAACTGGATTGGGTTACAGTTACAGTGTACATGTATGAGGAAAAGGTTTGCCTTTAAGGTCTTGTACTTCTCCCTATATATCAGGGATTTTTTTCTGGTGCTTACAATTAGTGTTGCTAATCTCAATGGTACAATGTAACCCTTCATTTCCAAAGAAGTTGATTGTCCTATTTGCCAGCAATGGTTACACTCCCGTCTTGTACGATCTTGAGGAGAGACAGACAATCTTGATGGCTGAAACTACAACAAAAAATGTCCCATGCCTTTTTCTTCCCTCTACTTGCCAAGGAACTGGCCCAGTAACAGCCTGTGACTGCATGGAATCCAATGAGAGTGCTGCATATCTTATCACTCAAGGCATGGGTGATATCATGCGCTGGAATAAAACAGCATTTATCCTTCACTCCAGTGTGAAACCAGAATTCTGGCCAGTCCAAGCTTCTAAAACTAGAATGAGACTAGAAATCAATGGAGGTTTTAAAACACACTGAATTAAATAATTCAAGCTATACCCTGTTTTTTGGATTGGTGATATACTTTAAGCATTGTCTTGGAACTGGCAGTACCTCTGATTTCCGCTTTGAGGCCAATGGATGCTCCCCTTTGCTGATGCTCATCCCCTTCAATTGAGTTCACTCAGTATTGGTCAAAGACCATGTGGACTTGCAGACAGTCGTTAGAAAAGAGTGAGGTACTGAAGATGTTGAAATCTTTTTCGGAGAACTCATCAAAGGTATCTGCTACAGAATATTTTTTCATCTGTAGGACTGCTATGCCAAGGATAAGAACAACCTTTGGATTTGTTGATGCAGTAAGTTGATGAACAATAGGAATGCCTTTCTCTCAAAGAGAGCATAGTGTGCCTTTTACCCCTTTTCTGAGACTTCCATCATGGTTGCCAAATGAATATGCTACTAAAAACAGTTTAAAGCTTAGCTCAGCCTGCCAAACAAGTCCCTGTTGGGTTAACTATAATTAGCTTATTGCTGGATTTGACTCCAATCTTCTCATTTACATTACTGCACATTTGGATGTTGATGTTTGTAATCAGTTCCCAGAAACCCACAGAATTAATATTGATTCGCTCCTCAACGAAGTTATTCATCTGCTGTTGGCCTATCTCAGTACTGCAGATAAGGTTGTGGGCCACATCTTCTAGCAGGACTACTCCATTGGTGGCAAGAAGGAGTATGTCCAAATCATGAGTAAAAGGATCAGTAATAAGACCTGTAGAATAGCAACCCATCGTCTTCTTACTGTCACTCTTGTGTTGTTTAATTCTTATCAGAACTGATTCCTTTTGTGTTGTATGAGCACCATTTTGGAGCCCATACAGGACTTTCAAAGAAGAAGTAATAGATGAAAAATCGTTCAAGAGCTGACTGACTATGTGATACAGGGATCACTCCTTAACTTGACTTGGAGTCAGGGTTGATCAACTGCTCAAGGGTTGTGAAAAGGGCTACCCTGTACAACTTATGGAATGATTCCCTGCTATTAAATCATCATAGACATCTACCTGTTTAGTTCCAGTTGCTACATATCAGCAAGATAAACAGGTGAGTAGGGAGAATAGTTCTGCCTGTCCCTGGCAATAAAGTGTAAGTGTAAATTCTTTATTCATGAATAGTAATAAATACCGAAGGAAACATCCCCAGAATCAAATGCCTGGACTTACATATAACTGCTATAAAAAGCTAATTACAATATGAATGTATGAATGTATGAACAACAATTAGATAAAATTGAAAAGGCAGCTGTTTACATGAGTGTTTATGATGTTCAGTTCTGACATGAGGCAAGATATGAGGGTGTCCTCTTTTCCTTAGGCTCCTTTTTTCCGGGGTGAAAGAGGTTCATGAAGGGGATGAGTACGATCAGTAGTTATGTTGTCCTATGATAGCTACCTTTGATTTTAATTACATCAGTTATGGGTGTATATTGGCTTGAACCTATCAATTTGGGAGAGACAGGCTGTCAAACAACAGTGTAAGCTATTGTTGAAAGTAGCCATAGTATTTACAAACTCTAAGGATGTACAAACTTTGCTGAGCATATTTTCAAAATGAGTGTCCCAATTACATGGATCTTTATTTACTGTAACTCCTAACAGCTTTAGTTCACTCTTCCTAGCCATGGACTTTGGGAGGGGCATCCTGGTTTTACCCTTAACAACCATCTTAAAGGTCTTTTTCATGTTCAGCTTCATCAGGTTGTCATCAGCTCAATGTTTTATGTTTGCTAATTCTTAATGTAACAAATCAGGATGATTGAGGCCAATTGCCACAGGCACACTCACTTTGATATCATTAGCATATTTGATCAGCAAGATTTAGGGGATTACAGGTTTGATATGGCACTTGATGAGGGCCATAGTTGTGTTGTGTCACTTCCTATAAGCAAATTGGTCAGGTCCAATCTCTGACTTAAGGATAGAAGATATCTCTTGTTTGCAGACAAGACACTCAAATATTCTCATTATGATGTTGGTTGATGAGATTGGTCTAAGTTGATTGCATTCAGTCAGAGGAGATTCCTTAGGAACAGGTGTCACATTTACTAGTTTCCTCAAGAATGGAAAAGTTTGATGCTTGAGTGGGCAATTGAAAATTTTGGTGATCACCGGTGCATGACAGTGTGAGTAATTGCACCAAAGCCAGTTAGGAAATTCATCAGGCCCTGAAGCAGTTCATTTCTTATGTGTCAGTAAGTTCCTTACATCACATTCATTCGCAGTCGGGAGACAGGTTCCTACTGATCTTTCAAGACATTTAGGAGCCTCATATGCATCATCTGTGTTAATGGTTTGGAAGTATGTGTTGATGACAGCAGGGGAAATCACTGGGCTAATAAGCGTGCCTTGCATCTTTCTACCAGTTATTCTATTGGCCATATCCTACCATCTTTTGGAGACTCAGTGCATTTTATTTGCTCGTTGTTCAGAGCAATTACTTGGTTCATGTGAATAAGTGTGTTAATTTTCTCTTGACAAATAATGTCCTCTGCTTGGTTGTCCCGATGTGGGGCAATTTTATTTCTATGCTATACCAGGGGGAACATGTTGGGCGGGTCTCTGGGAGATACTCAGATGTGATGAGCAAAGAACTCTTGTTGAACATCAATCATAGGCTTGCATCCAACAGTTTCATGCTTTCTCCTGGGTTATCTGAGTTGTTAATAGAATTCCAAGAAAAAGCACTTAGCTTGGTCGTGATAGCAATTTTGCAGGGGTCCCTTATGTCATGGAAACTGGCATATTTTGGTTGAGGTTTAGCTAGGATAGAAGGAGGTACAGGAACAACTAAATGATTAGACCTCACCAACCCTTGTACACCTCGCCGGATTTCCAAAGCAAAGGAGAATTAGCCAGAAAAACATCAAGCACTTTGTCCTGCTTAGTGGGTACTTTAACCATTTGATGCGGACCATGTTGTTCCTTTATTTTCATATGATTTATGTCCTACATATTCAAGGATATATTGTCTAATTGACATTCAACCAATAATTAAATGGTAACAAATAATTGTATTAACAATAATAATAATGATAACAATAGTCACATAATAATAATTCAAAGGGGCTAGCTTGAAAGCCTCATGGTTCACTTATCCTCTGGACTCCAACAATGATTACCAATGTTTCCTATAAATTTGCCTGTTACTTACAAATAATTTTCTTACTTTATTGCCATTGCATTTTTTGAGACTTTTGTTACATACAAAAGGTTGGGTTTTAGGATAATCTGTCATTCCATGCTGAACCACCATTCCTCCATTCCATCAATATGTTGAATAACTGTGTTGCAGCAAGGACTGAAAAGATTATATCTACTGACCTACATAATTTGTGATTTAAATGGTAAAATGCCCTCCCTTTGTAGAAAAATGTTCCCTCCAAGTTTCATGACATGGTGATCAGATAATTCTGCAAGGAAAACTTTTGTTTTTACAATCCTATCAAAGTGCTCTATGAGCAAACTCGTGAATTGACACATGATTTTTTGGATTATATTTAATGTTATCTGGTTTAGGGAATTTTGTGGTTGATTGTCACATCTAGAGTACAAGCAGTAGTTCAGTGTTTGCTCTTGCACATGCGCACAATTCACAAGTTAAAAATGAATGTCATCTTCAGCTATCTTCTGTAGTGTCACAGCAAGAACTGAAAACATAATGCACTAGTGGCTATAAGCCAGAAATCACAAAAGGAGAAAACTAAAATGTGTATCAACTGTGAATTTCATCAAATAAGATACTCTGAAACAAACAATAAGGAGCACAGGGAACACCTCATCTTGATAACAGATGTGGCTTTGCCTGCTATAGGAGGCAGTGGCCAAAAAAAAAAAAAATAGTTTGATAACTTTTTTTTTTCACGGATTTATATGAAAGACATGCTTTTCAGAGAAAAGGTCCCCAGGTAATTTATTCATTCACAATACAGATCAATTTCTTTTCCTTTTGTTCCAGACAGCAAGAAAATCCGGATTGTCTAAATACAAAATTGGATTTGGTAGAAGGAATGCAACTTGCGAAGCTGCAGGCAAAGTGCCTTTCAAAGGGTCTGTGAAATTTGGCCACTAGTATAGGCCTATTTGGGGTACTGAAAGCATTAATACAGCTCTAAACATCAACTATTTTTCAATGCAGTAACATGAGGAAGGAGGATTCAGTAGAAGTAAACTACTCTGGGGTTCAATAAGTAATGAGTAAATACAAATAAATTTTAAAAAAAGTTCAAGTTTTTTTCTTAACCACCACACACTTAGATTCACAATCAAAAGAGTTTGGTCAAAGAACAAACTAGCTCCTGGCAAAAGAAATCATCGCTGTATTTAAGTGACTATAACTAGGTGGTCCAGTAGATACTAGCCCCAGTAGATACGAAAAAATAGGTAGGATGGCCGGTGGCTCACTCCAGAAACTAACCCTTGATGTGTAGACTATCTATAGACCAGATCCTAGGGCTTTCTCAAGACCAGTCCACAGATTTCTTACACAATCCCCCTAAAATGGTATGCATAAATCTTTTCGAGGATGCTGCATTTCAGAATAAAGGTAAAGGTACACCAAAATCACTCCATCACCAGTGTTGGACTAGCAAGTTCTGTTCAATTTTTCACTTTGGGTACAGTATTGTGCAAAAGTAATGCAAATGAGATATTTTTTGTTTTAGTGACCTTTTGTTGAAAGTTCCAGCAAAAATTCAACAGAACATGGTGTAATGTTTGTGAAAGCCGTGTTGTAAAAGTTGTGTGCAGTGAATTAAAACACTTCAAAAGGTTTAATCCGTGTTAATCTGCTTATTTATTAGCCATCACCACAAGAACGTTTGTGGCCGTCATGAAGAAAAAATTCCTGGCCGAAAGCGTCTTTTTCAACAATACAGTGATTGAAATTTTTTTAGACTTCCCTGAGTGATCAAGTTTGTTTACCATTCATGTAGCAAACATGAAATATTTCCAAACATATTTCCAATCTTTTCAGTCACCAAGACAGTATGAGAAGGACACTCTATATTTGAGACCAAACTTAGGGGACAAAAGAATAAAATACCAATAAAACATCAGATTCTGGGCTCAATCTGTGTATGACAACGAAAGTAAATCAGGTAAACTGCCCCAAGTGTCTAAAAGTAATTCTGACCAAGATACATGCATTTGGCTGAAATTATTTCCCAAACTAATCCAGAAATTTTGCATATCAACTTCATTTGTCTGATGTTTAAACAAAAGGACAAAACAAGCCTTAACCATCACATGCAATTGACAATACGTTCAATCTCTTTATGACAAGGGAAGTAGATCAGGATGAACTGCATGTATTTGGTTGAAAAGAATGTACATGAACAGTGCATAAAATAATGTAAAGTCTATGGAAATACAAAATTCAAATCATAGGCAACTAACCTGTATTAGGTGCTTTCCAGGTAACTTGAATGACAGGCATTCCATTATAAAGATGACAAGAGCCTAGAACATTCAAGGGCTTTCCTGGGAATGATGGACAATTTGGATGGGACTGCGTACTGAATGGCACACAAGATGTGACTGTCAAAGAGAAGGATCACATTGCAATCATATTTATCTGTATAGTTTTCAAAGTATGTTTGCATTGGTCCGTCTCATGTTATAAATTTTCAGCAAAGAGTTATGTGCCATAGAACTATTATGTTTAATATATTTCATGAAACCTCCCAGGTCTGTGCCTATAACTTAAGATTCAACACATCTTGACTGTACTAAATCATATAAAGAAGCAGTTTGCAACAATGCACAAGATTGAATACTTAATAATCTTGAAAATTCTACTTCCTTAACAGTCTTGGAAATGTCTAAACTGTCTGCTTTTCTGGATCAATTTCTGTGCAGCCGTATCTAGGCACATGGACCTACATGAAGCTTGTGTGTGAAGTAATAAATCTAGGGTTGCACTCAAAATGAATGTTCATGCTCCTAATCACAACCAAAGTCATAAAGTATGGAGCCTTTTCGTCCTGTTTTGCTTGTGCATAGTTATCACTGTTGGCTGACAGTGACAAAGCTGTGCTCTTCAATTTCATTTCACAATTTCAGTTACTATAGGTTTCTTGTTAATAACATTAAATAGTGCAAATTCAAAATACAGTGAATACTTTTCTACAAAGTAATACAGATTTTCAAACTCAGTGTTGAAAACAATTGCTTTGCTCAATCTTTCATCATTGCAGTCCATGGCAAATATCATTTTGTTACTTGTATCATATGGATTAAAAATTAAAAATTTAATTATAAAACAATTTACAAAGTTTTTTAAGTCACCTACCATATTTACTTACAGTAGGCCACATTTTTTAATTGGAAAAATGGGATAAAAGTTTTGGGGTACGGTCTGCTTCACCCTTCAAATTGTATTACCTGTGTTGCAATGTGATAATCTTTGTTTTTGTAGTTTTCTACTAATTGGATATGATAACGAACCTCTAAGTCTCCTGCCTCATATTGATATACCCTAAGATATATTTTTTGTGACTGCAGGTTTTCTTTTTCCTTTCTGTACTGGATGAAATTATAATGAGATATCCAGCAGTCAATTCCACCAATTAAAAAAAAACAAAAAAACTATCCTCATCCATTGAAGTGTTTAAAACAAGCTTATACCAATAGATCCAGCTCCTTATGTTGACATAAGATAATTGAATAAAATCAAACAGCCAATGACCTTTCTATGTTCCCATATATGGCTCATGTTTCACATCAGATCAGAAACAATCAAAATTATTCAGTGTTGGGTTTGCACCTAAACTCCAATTCTCTTGTTCAATGATGCTTACAATAAACTGTAAATAGAAGTTTTAAGATGAAAATTTCCATGTTCAAGGTGAGGAGTGATCATTACAACAAAAGTAAATCTAGAAGTGTCTTCATTCTCACTTCCTGAAAATTCCAGAAAGACACCTCAGGGCATAGTTCCATTAGTTGTTTTCTTGTTACTCCCTTATTCATCACTGCATCAATCTGATTAGTAACCCTTCTATCATAGAGGGAAGCCCAAGTGAAGGTCAGTGCTGCCTATTGCTCCTTTTACTCTACACCAACTTTTTAAATTTTATGACCTTTCTTTGGTTTGAGTTTTGATTGCATTTTACTAAGTACTCTTTTCCACCAAAATGAATGAAAAGTTAGAAGTGTAGCCTATACACAGGTGCGGTCAATCTGCAGGTAAATTCACTATTTAGTGAATGATAATCATATTTTCACTGATTATCATATGTATAAACTATACTTGTTCATACAAATGATGTTTCAGACCTAATCTAAGGGACAACACCTCATTACCGTTGGCATCAAGAGGCCCTCCACAGGATTCCAGAGGAGAATCTGTCACAAAAAAAAAAACATAGTTGGTTAGGGAAAACATTCTATTTGATATTTGGGACCTTTATTGTGGTCTAAGCCATTATCAAGCAAACACAATTCAGACTCACTAGTTGGCTTTATGAAGTCCATCAAAGAATTAAAATCTGGAGTCACTGATTAGTAATGATTGTCAAATTGTGTTCTATGCAACTATAGATTTGATAAATAGCTATCATTTATACAAATTTGAATATAGTATGTTTCTGTATTTTTTTAAGACACATCAGAGAGTTGAAAGACTGACACAGGATGCAACCTTAAGTGGTGCATCATTATGAGGGCAAATACCTACATATACAGCAAACTCATCCCAGCACAATTTATGCTTATCATAGAAGCTATGCATCTTAAGCATTCAAAATGCCAACTTCCTGAACAAATTTCAGAGATCCAAACTACTCAATAAATGTTGCCCTGAGAATAAACTTCTTGCTACCAGCCACAGAAGTTGCAGTTCCAACAGTTATAGAATTTAAAATTTGAAACTCTACATCAGATTCTGTTTACATCGGAAAACTTCTTGATTGCTTACTGCAATAAACTTGAGTTACAGCTCTCCATTCTTAAAATGTATAGTTTTATAATATCATCATTGTCAGCCTCCATCAGGTTCTGTGATGACCATAGAAGAGAGACCTAATAGTATATGCTCTACTGGAGCAGCACTACCTGTGACTGAGGAGGCCAATGCCTAAATGGCAGTCTCTGTCACTCAAATAAAGATCATCTCTATGCTATTAGAAATGCAGCATTCTTTCCTGAGGGTCACCTTCTCTTCCCCTGCACTGATCACTCTTTATTCTCCTGAATTCAGTTGTATGGTCAAATACATACAATGTATAAGTTTATATCTATGTAGGCATGTATGTATGTATACAATCAATTGCAGAAATGTTAGATTACAGATGGCCTCCATTCATTCTCAACATGCAACACTTTTTAGCTGTTGTTTTAGTGTTTTTGCAATCAAATGTTATATAAATGTAGCCATTCTTTGAATATTGCAATTAAAAAATAAACATAGGCATGTGTATATGTAGCATGTGAGAGTTATTTTTTTTAGCTGGGTGGGTTGAGATGGGACACCTTGTGTACCTATTGTTTTAATTTTTGCTATAGAAAGAGAGTGTAACTTTCAAAAGAATGAAAATACTGCACTACTTCACCTTAAGAAAAAGATGAAAAAACCTAATTTATCTGAATTCACACAAGTATTATGTGGTCTATTGTCTCTACTACCCACATACCTCTACGCAAAAATAAAACACATTGGTGCTAAACTTACTGTCATCTCCTTTTCAGCCATTTTTTGGTCTCAACACTCAATGCCCTCTATTCCCAGCTAGAGAGAGAGTGCACTGCATGTCAAAACCAAATAATGGTTGTGAAAGAAATTACACTTACTGCCGTTCCTCTAACAGAGAGTATCAAAATTATTTGTCTACAGTCAATTACTTCAAAAATGTAATTCCAAATCATTTTACTACAAAAACAAACTGAAACTTTGTTGTATCTCCAATAGACCCCAACCAAAGATATATTATACTCTCAAATAAGTCAGGATCCATTGAACAAGAGAAAAGGATAATATTTCAAAGGCTCCTCCATTGTTCCCTATCTGGACTTTGCCCCCTGTGTGTAATATGTGATAATATGAAGGTTGCTTACAAGTAACACAGGATGGGGTTAAGTCCAAGGTAGCTAAAAGTAAATTTTATTCATAGAAAAAGTCAAAATGCAGGAAAATTTCTTGGAAAATTCAATATCAGTAGCATTTAGTTCCATGTGTGCTTTTAACTTGAAAATGATTGAAAAAATTTAAATGTGAACCTTTAATATCTCAATAAATCTCAACCTTACTCAAAGAGGCTTCTGCGGGGGCCATAAACCTTTGCACTTATCAAATGAGCCCTAAATTTCTGGTTGATGTCATTCTTTATGCACAGCCCCCTCATTCCATGACATCATTTGCCAGAAAACAATAGCCAAATGCTGTGATTGGTGCAAGACATTGAAATGCTTTGATATGATTGATGCTCGATACATACCCTACTATGGCAATCTGATTGGTGCAAGTAACAAACCACTCTACATGCTAACATGGAGTTTTTTTCAGAAAAAGAAAAAAACTAAAAAATGATAGACATATGCCTTTCGTTTTATCATCAAAAGGATGTTGACATAAGCGTTATAATAACAGAAAAAAGGTATATACATATCATGTATATGCAACGCTTGCAATTGCAACACTTTTGAGAGCTGGTGTTTAATACTCATGAGTACACACATTACACAATTACCTTGGATGTGCAGCTGCCATAGCCTAAGAACTGTACCATTTACTACAAATGAATATCTCCCTGAATCACTGTCATCCACATTCTTGATCTTTAACCAAAACTTGCTCTTATTCTTGTTGAATCCAAAAGATATCTTGTCTATTTTTGAGATTAGTTTTTGAGTGTCTTTCTCCCAATGTGACCTCTTCAAAGCACTGTCAAAGTCAAGGACATTTGATTTATATATCAATCGTGCTGACTGCCCAGTCACATAATTAAGTTGGATAAGCTTAGGGTGACTTTCCTGTAGGAAGAATGGAAAATGTAATTAATAATTATTTGTGTTCATTTGACAACCCATTTTATCACTATTTTCAGTTTTATAATGCATTTGAACTTTTATTAAGCAGCACCAAATTTAGCAGTCACCCTGTAATAAGCAGTTGGTTGTCAGTGCCAAATTCCTCTCTTCTTAATTATCATTATTTTCACTCCTATAAAGTGGTCACTTCTTTTAAACAGGTTGTGTTCACTCTTTGACTGAGTCCCAACCATGTGTTTGAATTGAACATTCACTTACATGTAAAGCAGAACTGCTCAAACAAAACTAAGAATCATTTCTCAAGTATTTTCGTTTCATGTTTATCTCCCAATATTGATGTCACATGTAGTACTTTGAGTTAAAATGTCTTCAATGCATTGCTCATGAAATTACTCTGTTTAATGGCCACCAGGCAATCTGGTACCAAAAAAAGTCAGAGACCTGATCCATAAAAGTAGACTAAAGAAAACCAAAACAAAAAACACAGATTTGAAATTATCTTTCTTCTTAGGACTATTGGGCCAAATATTATGAACAATCATCATGCAAGTCATTTGCCAATTAATTAACAGCCTAGAGGCTCAAATGTTTGAAAGTAGTCTTAGCTTCAACCCAAAGTAAACAGAGCCTTAGGGTCTCAATAACAGGATACAAATTTTTTTGCCCCTACAGTGTATGGTCAAACAGTTAAAAAATTAGATTCATTAACACATCAAAGAAAAATTCTCTGTAACAATAAAAGTGATACATGTGAAAACAACAATGGCCTCTAAAGAGCCAAGATGTAGTGAGGAATGTAGGTGGTAATTTGATAAGGAATAACATTTACAAGGTAACTACCAATTTAATTGGTTACACTTTTATTATTGTAATTTTCAACTATTCAACACCAAGTATAGAAAGGACATCCAAGACCCAAAACCTATACCCTTCTTGAGAAATATAAGTTAACATGTTACAAATCAGCGGGCTTCACAACCTCTACCTGTTTAAGGAAATGGTAGACCTTCAAAGGCCAATTTTTCTGAAATTTTCTTTTCACGACAAACCAAGCATTATCATTTTAACTATTATCTCCACAAAAAAATTTTGGTGAAATGTTGAAACACCCACCAGTTATTTATAATTAAAAGAAGTATTTTTGAACTGAACTCTTTAGTCTGTCAAAGTGACATGTTATGTTGACATAAATGACTCCCAAAGAGTTTCTTGCAGCAAAACATCCTGATCCTTGAATTCTAATGACATAAACATTCCCCCAATTTCTGTTTCATGTTTCTGTTTCTTTGCTATCTGTCTGCATTTACGAATACTGGCCCTCTTCAAACAAATTAAGAGGGTATATCAACTGTATGGATTGCCTTGAAACTATGTTTGAAGACTCCCAAGATACCAACTTAAAAACCATGTGGGGGAATTCAATTTTTTAAAATTGATCTCCCATGATAGCCTCCGGCATAATACACATCAGTAAAATTTTGATTAGCAAGTTTGACACACAAATTACAAAGTGACTAATAAAAAAATTAAAAAATCCCCTCAAAGTTTTGAAAACCAACTCCTCAGGATTGAGATTGTGCAGAAGTCTTATTTGTGCAGTCAGATTTTATATGTGATTATTTTCCTCAAAGAAACATTGTCCATTTTGAACTGTCATGTCCCATTCATTCTACAAATAAACCAAGCTAAAACAAAATAATTTTTTGCAGAATAGTGCATTTCATAACCTTTCCATTAATATATAGTCCATGATGGTTAAGCTACAATATTCTTAATACCCAGAGATAGAATGCTCTAAGTAGTCTAGGCTTTGGGTGTTGTAAGTTCCTTAAATGATATTGAAAGTCTGCTCTGTCCCTCCATTTTTTCTTAAGTGTATCTAGTATGTAAACTTTTTATGACAGGAAATAGCTGTTGACAAAACCTGTACCCCCTCTTCTGGACCCCTTCCTGGATACCCCTTTGGACACCCATATATAAAGACTCCAAAAGATCATCTCCTTTGCTTCCAATTATAAAGGAATAAAATGTAATGAAATGCCATTTTCTGAACAAAAACCACCTGATATCATAGAATGGAAGATAACACAGCTTAAGAACAATTGCAAGTGATCACTTACCATACACTCCACTCACTGTGTTGGAAAATGTGCTCAGCCCACAGTACCGGTCAGGGGCAAAATAAGATTGCAGAACAAAATGGCAGAGATTGAAAAAACTGCTATATTTAATTCAAAGATTTGCTGTTACCAATACTTCACAAAATTATGGAGTAGATACACCAACACAAACATATGGTTTCACATTTTCCATGGACTGATTAGACTTTGCTGTGTAAAACTTAGAATTTAGCAGGAGGGGGGGGGGGAGGGGGGGCAGGCAGAGGGGACTCCATGGGAGTCAGAAGAGGTTCTTGTTTATCACTTTAACCAGCACCTTTGTTCTTGAGTCTCAAACCAAATAATTTGTTATTTCTTTTACCCCAGATAAGCCTGAGCATGAGTAAGTGAAATTTTTAACATCTCATGGGATTAATATAAAATCCACGTATAAAAACATGACTGTTCTGCTCAATAGTAGCCAACCTTATCTAGTTAAGTTGTAGGAGATAATTAATCAGTAGAAGGCATTGTGCTTAGCAATGATTAGACTTTCTTCCATTGTTGCTACTTTTTCTAAGCATATAACATGATTTTATCTCCATTAAAACACAGCAAAATTTTCTAGTCTGACCAGGTACTGGACCACATCAAATTCAGAAAGATAAGTAAGGCAATTAAAAGAGAGAAAAGACAATAGGATGAACATTACATGAAGTTTTCCATAATGAAGAATGTTAAAGAACTTTTTCATTCAGTCATGTTTAACTTATCAAAAGTAGTAGATATCCCATCTGAAATTCTGCCTCCACACTCAGCAGTATACGTGTTTGTTTGTTTTTTTATTAACCAAACGTTAAGTTTTAACCACACCGAGACCTCTAGTAATTCTGTTTTCAGGTCATGCACCAACCCAATTATAGTTCACTAAAGTGTTCTCATAGTGATCCCTTAGAATTCCCCTACAAAAGGCCTTGTTTATCCCAAGAACTCTTCACATTTTATGCCTCATTTTCAATTTTATACTCAATTTTGGGGGAAATTGTGGTTTTTCATGAGAAAAAAATTAAATCATGCTACTCTTCAGGTTATATCTTGGCAGAGGAAATGAGAAGCTAAACAAAGTTCTAAAGTAAGACATATGTCTTTCATAGATGTTCTAGATTTGAGGTAGCTTTTAATCAGAATGGAATGGGAAATAGAGGATACTACATAGCTGAGCAGAGAAAAATTTCTTGTGTCTTGATACCCAACGAGTGCAATATTTTTCATCATGAGAGGAAAATTTTGTATCCCCAAGCAGACATGAAATATTCTATTTATTATATAAACACCAATGAAAAAGCAAACCATTTCACTTCTGTTGCAAAAGTTGCAATTTAGTATGTAACCATTAGGATAATAATGGTGTTCTTTTAACGTGTGAAGATAACATGCTATTTTCCCATGTGAAGATATGATGTTTTCACATGAAAGCTCACCTGGTATTTCACTGGCGTTAAATATATAATAAACAGATTTATTTTAGGAAGTTCTTCTGGAATGATTCATAGAGTAAGTTTCCTTAGTAAGGATGCATGTACACAAGAAATATATATTTGCAATGAATTCATAAGAAAAACATCTCTCACAGTAACCTCTGTTTATATTAATGAGTAATGCACAACAAGAAGCTTGAATTCACATGATGGTCGAGGTTGCTCTGTAAATGGCCGTTGTCCAATTATTTGTAGAAGTTGCCTTTCAATTCTATTTTGTGTCTTGAATAGGTAAAATCATGTGTTGATGAATATGAAATAATTAGAGAGGTAGAATCTGAGTTCTACTCGTGCCATTATACCTTACAGATCAAACCAAAACCAACATCAGCAGGGCATTCGAAGTTAGACTACCAATACAACAATTAATATCAGTAGTCCGTTATTCATAGGTTCATATACAAGACAGAAAAATAAACGTAGTTAGCCATGCAATCAATAGAACATTAAGTGGACGGAATGTGAGTGATTACCCTGTCCATTGTCCATGCGGAAACTGTCAAATACAATGACTTTAAACCTGGAATACAGCTAATCGTGAGTTGAACACCTCAGCACGGCAGTGTAATTGATGAGGATATGCAAATTTAGAGAACTTAAGAATCTTGGCTTCGCTTGTCACAAAATACTAACCACAAAAATAATTCACAGTGTTACTAAGGTTCATTTTATAGGCAACAAAAATAGTTCCGCGGTACTACAACAGGCGAAGTTTCACAGTATGACAGAAGTGGGAAACCACCAAGCCGAAAGTCCTGTAAACTTAATTTAATGAACGTTTTATTTGATATTATGAGTTCATTGATGATATACTACCTTTCGAGGTATTCTTAAGTTTTATATCGTATCAACAGAGTAAAGCCACAAAGAAAACTAACCAAAAAAATAAGTCAGAAATTCTGAAACACAGCTGTAACAAGCGCACTACTGATGTTGGAATAGAAAAGTAATCACTTTTGAGGGAAATAATTCGCCTCGCATGCATGTATTGTTAGATTACTCACCGCGTTGCGCCGTATCCTCTTGGCCTCGACACTAAATACTGTCCATTCCACAGCTATGATCAACAAAACGAAGACCTTAGGAGTTATACAACGATGCACTATGACAAGGACCATTGCTGTTTGACAACGATTTGGCTTTCGAGCTTACAAGGCGGAAGCCTTCCAAAACTTCAGGCATAATACATCCCTATACCGCTGTGACGACAGACTTTCATTACAATTACCCAAACTCCATCCACCGGGCTAATATACATGTAGAAGTTGTGGGCGGTACAGGAAGTTTGAAAAACTGAATAACGTCAAGCGAAGTTATCTACATAACAATCGACCGATGTTTACGAATTTGCTGAAATTCCGGTTTCCAAGTATTGACAAAGAAGTGTGTGTCAGCAGTACTGTTTCCCTCGAAAATACAAAAGATAAACCTTAAGAGTGCAAATGGCATCAAATGATCAATTTAAATCGTGATGAGTTTCCCAGTGTACAAAAGGGACAAAAGGCAAAGGGGTGCACAACCATAGTTAATTAACGTTTATCACTTCATATTCAATCTCAATATTTTGCTAGAGGCCAACCTAAAGCCTTCCTTATCTCCTGCGGGAAGAAATCTATTGCGAGTAGATGATAAAATAATAAATCACGTATTAAAATACTGCCAAGAAGGGTAGGAGAAGTAACTCTCCTCACGTAAACGAATATCAATCAATCCTACTTTATCACATTGAAGATTTGGCGCTTCGCGACACCGGGTGCTGTGCTGTGGTGTTCACCTCAGTATTCGAGATGAGGCAAAAGTTTACCACCACCCCACCCTCCATCCCCCTCCGCTGCCCACATCCCGTCAGAACACGAGATACACAACAAGGTGACCAACCGCTCAGTCACAGAAGCGACAGATGAAACAACGCAAAGCTAATTATATCTAGCTGGTAAAACTGTCTACGTTGGCGAAAGTCGTCTCCTATAAAAGAAAACCGGATGAACTATTTATGTTACTAAAACCTAAGGGTCATGGCTGCTAACCTCAACCTCTATAGTTCTATGGGGACAGGACTTTCAGACAGTAGACAGCTGGGGTCCTATAATCCAGCTCTAGGTAAATAAAGTGGTCTGGAAATTGTGTTGTCACGAAGACTACAGTTATCGCTGTTCGTGTAGTTACAATAATTATGACGATGCAGAGAGATCAGCAGTGTCATGGTCGGTTCAGGGAAAGTGCATTTGAGGTCCACTAGTCAAATTCTAGGCGAGTGGCGGGGATTTGGATACTGTTTTATTACTCTTTGCTGTACTTCTAGGGTTACGTTTGACACCTGTTCTCTCCGGGAAAAGTAACAATCGAGGAAATCCGGAGAGCGCTCTGTTATGCTGGCTATCACCAACGTCTATAGGGACGGGGCTATCAGCCAAAGTGCACTCAGGGCCCTCTAATGTAATTCCAAGGGAAGCTAAGGGAGTGGATTCGGTTCGAAATCTGTATCGTGATTGTTTGCTTTCTCGTTTCTCCTCCAACTATGACCTCAATAATTAATTAGAAGCACCACTAGCTTGATATTTCAAACTCACAAGGGTTCTGCCTTAATTATACTTGACTTTTCAGAAGTTCCTTCTAAGAGTGTGTCCACGAGAACATCAGACAGTCGTGCTACATGCCATCCCACCGATTTCAATGAAACTTTACCAGTTCAAGGGTCTACCCCAAAACTCAAAAAGACAGACTGGTTTCTGTTTTGGTTTTTTTCCAGAGGGAGATAGACCACCTCCCCCTCGGTTTTTCTTGGTTTTCACCAAGGAAATCGCTTCAAAATAGGTAAAATGTATGAAGCTCTAAATGCGATGGTATTTAACTAATTACTCTGAGGGTTTGCACACATATTACATTCTTAGTTAATGTCCGACGCATGTTTCAGTAAATTTGATTGACGGCTTGTCAATCAACAGAGGCAAATAAACGACTGTGTTTTTTAGACTTTTCGATTCATCCAAATATTTGACCACTTTTAGGTCAAATATCTCCCCTTGCCAGAAAGCTACAACACTAATCTTAATTCTCCTTTATAATCCATCATTTCATCTCCGAAAACCGTCAAAAAATCTTTGGGCACTATGGTATTTTTGTCTTGGATGTCTTCTAAAATCTACGACTGTGACAAGCTTCTCTCAACTCCATCTGTCACGCAATTCTGGCTCTAGGCGGTCTCTCGGGGTGTCCGGAAAACTAAGACCTAAGACCTAAGGCTGAAGACCTAAGACCCGGAAAACTAAGACCCTGATTTTTGGGGGGAAATCATCAAATTTCAGCTTCTTAAACTGGATTTAAGTTTTCCGCATTACTTCAAGTTGTAAAGTGAATTCCACATCTTAATATACGTATCTCCTTACTTCTACTTTCTCCTGAGCCGACATTCTGTTTTCACGGAAACTAAAAACTAGTAAACAGTAGACCGTGTTGGCGGGTAAACTGGAGCGAGCATAGCCCTTTTCGTTTCTCTTAGGGCTTTGAGGCTATATTCTAGATTCCAGTCTTCATGTATGCAGTAATAAATGTTTCAAAAGAATGTATGAGAGAGTTGTTGCGTTTTTTACTTCCGTTCAAGAATTCTTTGTCATAAACAGCCAATTAAAAAATTCCAATTAATTAAAAAATCCCATGACCCCAGACCCCTTCGGCCGATTCGATCTTTAGGTAGCAGCTTGTTGCTGTCAAACTGCGCTATCCCGTCATTACGAGAATCAGGCCTCCTTGTAAGAAGTCGAGGAAGACAAAACTTCCGGAAATTCGACATCGTTGAACGCGATTAAAAGGCTAGCCCATTTTGGTCAGTAGTAACCGATGCCCCGTTCTCTCCTATCGGCGGGAGAAAGAAAGAAAAGCTTCTTCAGTCGTCTTTTTTAACGTGGTAAAAAGTCCAGAATCTGGACTTTCCTCTGATTGGTCACGAAACAAAAGACAACATTAATCTATATCCTGATAAGTTACCTGGATGGAAGTGCGACTTAAGGAACCGGAGTGATTTTTTGTTAGCTTTGAATGCATCGCTCGCGTGATTTCTTCATAAAACACTCAAGGATGAACAAGAATTAGTCACATATAAAAAAAAAAATGTTACTACTAGGAAACAGTTTGAAATCTCAGTTCTGGGCTGGCCGATTTTCAAACTTTCTTAACAATATCAAACCGTAAAAGCGTTACGCGCGATAGAAAGCAGCCGTGACGGAACTTCAGAGGTCAAATAACTTTTTTTGTGAAATAATTATTTCAACACCTATTTTCTCGAGTGCTTCTGGGTTATATAACTTTTGACATATAGACTTACATTTATGGCCGGCTAATGAATAACACCAATAATTTCCACCGGCAAAGAATATCACTTATCTGATGGCCTTACTGCCATTCGATTCCCGACAGACGCCAGAAAGAGGCGACAGATAAGTCGTTGAATGATCTTTTTCTATTTTTATTTATGATTTTGCGTATAATATCGCAAAGCTACTTGTGTCCAAATGGCCATCAAATTATCATGAATAATATAATTCTACTAGTTTCGTATTGTTTACTGACGGAAACTTTGAGTGACTATAACTGGGTCACAATTCGCCGAGGCTGTGGAGTGGGTGAGCGTACAACAAAAGAAAAAAAGAAACTTAAAAAAATGGTAACTGCTACTTTTTAAATACCTAACCATGAAAAGCAAAGCATTGGCACCAAGGCACCACGTACTTCTGCCGACGAAATCATCAGACCGGAAATTGGGAAAGTTATCAGAACGATATGAAAGAATATTTGTTAGTAAATAGCTTCAAAGTAATACGTTCTAGTGATAATATGGAGGTAACAAAACGAAAGACACAAAGCACCTTTTCGGAAATTACCGTCTGGCAAAGTAGACAAAGCATTGCTTCGCTTCATTTGTTTTTCGCAAACTTTAGTACACAGTATAACGCCACACTGCGACAACCGGAAATAGTTTCGTTTGCCATACTTTAGCCCCTTCTCGCCGCGTTTTTTTTTTTTATTTTTTTCTCGCGCCCTGTCTTCCGCGCTGCGCCTCAACTATAAACTGAATGTCTGGAAGAGGCTAGCTAAATTGTTATTTTTTAAGTGTGAGTGCATTTATTTTATTAATTTTACCTTATAAAGGTAAAGGAAGCAGAAATTTGATGATTTCCCCTAAAAAAAACCAGGGTCTTAGTTTTCCGGGTCTTAGGTCTTAGGTCTTAGCTTTCCAGACACCCGCTATGAATGATGAGTATGACATCACATCTCCAGAGAACATAGGCGGTTTATGGCTAGGTAAGAGACTTCTGGCCTGTTTTGTAACAATCATCTCTGACAGTTCTGCCTGTTTCCTTTCAATGTCAATATAGTCTTGATCTGGTCTTGTACTTTCTACAAGGCTTGCATCCTCTCTGTAAACATACGTATATCCTTTCTGATCGTCATAAGATAGCGTGGTATCAGTGGGAGTCCCATTGTCTTTTTCAATTTCTTCTTTAATGGGAAGGTTCCTTGGATTAAACGTTTGGGCAGTTGGTTTCATAGTACCAGCACTGACTGAGATGGGCGTGGTGACAGAAGTTGTCGTTGAAATGGTGCTGACTACAGCTGAACTTTAGAATTTCACAGAAGGCACCTTTAGTGTACACTGACCGTTAGTTTGTGCCTCAAATAAGATGGGAATGGAAGTGAGATTAGCTGTTACATCTTTCAAATAATCATTCATGCCATGAATGATTTGTTCTTCGTCAAACTGCTCATAAATTTTCTCTTCAGCCTTTGCCTCTGAAATTTGCTGCCGAAGTTCAAGCTCCACAGAGGTTATTCTTAGCGTTTGCTTCTCCTTTAAGAATTTTGCCTTAACCTCTAACGCTGCCGCCTTAGCCTTTGTTTCAATCAACTTTAACTTAGCGGATGATGTTGAGAAACCTGTGCGTGTATCATGCGAATCACCACGCAACTTCTTTGTCTCACCCAGATAACACCTTGCTTTAATACGAAACACAAACCTTATCACGACTGTTATACCATTGCTGAGCTAATTTTATCTCACCATCATCATCCAAGGCCCTGAGATACATATGATGTGCTTCTTGCATCTTAACAAATAGCTCATGGAACTGCACAACTTCAGTAGGCACTTGTTTTTCGTTCTCAAAATCTGCCAACAGAGGCGAAATTATGTTCATCTGCTTAGTTAAGTTAGCAAGAGCAGTTTTCCGATTTTCCTTTAACCTTTGAATCGCAAATTCCCTACCCTTTTCCATTTGTTCGCGCGTCCACGTGAATTTCCTCAGGAACTACGACACCGGTCAGCGGAGATGTTGCAGGTGGTGACCAACTCCGAGATGATTTGTTTTCCACATCCATTTTACGCCAAATGCCATCCTTTTCTTCGTCCAAAACGTTCATTTTCCTTTGTAAATCTTTCTCCTTGTCTCCTTTGTGTCCTTCAATGTGTGATTCACTCTAGGTAAAATTGTATCGGCCGTAAAATCCATTCTTTATTCCTCTAGATCAGCAAAATGCTCGACAATGTCCGCTGGTTTAAAATGCAAAATTCATGTTACCGTAACCGTTGTAACGATAGGATTTTTAAGTTATCGAGTTCTTTTATGCTAGCGCTA